TTATTATATCTTATCTTGGCTAAATATTATATATAAAGTTATTAATCTATCATAAAATAATCTTTTTAAGAGATATTAAAAATGGTAATAATACTAATAAATATTTCTAGTATCTATTTATTTTATATATTTATAATAATTATAGTTTCTGAAATATAAATACATACTTTTTTCTAAGTAATAAAGATAATAATTTGATAATTAAGATATTAAAAGTGATTTGAAAATTTGCATCTCATTAGTATTCTTAGTATATACTTAGTAATCAAAGTATAAATAATCACTTCTAACTACATTTATCTTAAAATTAGTTATAAGAGTATATTTAAATAGTGTATACATTTAGAGAATAATGCAAAAATACATCATATAATATAGTTATGCATTATATTATAATACTCTGTATTACTATAATTCATATATTATTATAGTAATATTAATTTTCATATTATTTTTTATTATAATAAAATTAAATAGTCTTAATAAAATAATTATCTATATAAGACTATTATAATTAACCAATTTTTTTCTTCTTAATAAACTTTTTTAATCTATTTAATAATTTTAATTACTTACTTGTATTCTCCTGCTGAAGTAAAAATATTTTAATACTATTCAAATTCTTTAATACTATATTAGTCATAATTATTAGAATTTCAATATTATCATTATTATCTAAGCTTTCTTCTATTAAATTTTTAATTTCAAATAAGTTTATCAGCTTCTAATCATTCTCAAAAATCTCATAAATAATGTTCATATTAGAAAGGATTAAAAATTTATTAATAGTAGGAAAATCAAGAGTATCAAATATTTCAATAAGTTTATTAGTTACTAGATCATTAATTCTTTGAGTATTATTTAAAGGATCAGTATTAGCAGAAAGAATCTTAATATGATACTAAGAGTTATAAATAGTCTTAGTAAATATTTCTTTCTAGACTTTAATTATATATTAAATTGCTTGAAAAATAGTCATCTTTAAGTCTTGGATGAAATAACTTACTTTGATTTGCTCTAACATCCAGCTAAAAACTAATTAGCAAGTAAACTTGGACAAATAATAATAATCAAAATTACTTATTAAAGATAAAAATAATAATATTATTATTTAAAAGTCATAATTATCCTAGCATCTATTAACTAGATCTTTGAGATAGTATTTATTAGAAGGAAGTAAATATCAATATGTTGGAAATTCAAGTTCTCTATGTTATGACTCAGACAATTATCAAGAAGCAAAAAAATATATTGACTGCTATGTTTTACTATAACTTGATGATCAAATACCTAAAGTCACTCTTGAAAAAGAATTGTAAATATCCAAGTCTTAAGATTACTTTAGTATATCATAGCTAAATTCTAGATCTTTACATTCTTGAAATATCATAATTTTGCTAACTTACTGATTATAAGAGGATTTAATTTGTGAAATCTATCAATATTTACATATAATACAATAAAAAAATATTCTTTATTTTTTTTATAACTGGAAAGATATTATATTACTAGTATTTGATCAGACTCTAATTAATAAAAAAGTCCTGTCTCATCCATATTATAAATTTAATCAGATGGATATCTGAAATATTTATCCTGTAATATTGGTAAAGATTGAGTAATAACACTTTAATCTGTGAATATTTCTTCTCTGTAAAGTTTCTCTTAATAAATTTTATTATGATTCTTGAATTTATAAAGCTATCCAGAAGAAAATTACAGTATATTCTCAGAAATTCCTAAATCTTTTGCTAATAATTTTATCTTTTTAATTAATAAAGTATCATTTAAGATCATTCACTCTTGATATATTAATATGAATTTCTTGAGAGCTAATTTGAATTCTAAGATAATAATAAATTTATAACATTTTACTTCTTGATTTATGATTTTTATTGCTAGTCACTTCTCTTTAAATTGAAAAATCTGAATAATTATTAACTTATCAACTATAATATTTTACTTTTGTTAGATTCATTTTATATATTCATCACAAATTTTTTTATTATTATTATGAGCATAAAAATATACTTTGTATTTCTGGATATTAGTTAGAGTTATTTTTTTTAAGTGGTATTAATAATGAATAAATAATTTTTAGTTATTTTAAAGTAAAGCAAATTTGGATAGATAATAAAAAGATGAGAGGAAGAAGAGAATTTATTTATAGTAGATCAAAATATAGTGATGTGATCAGGATAAAATTTTTTATAACTCTTAAATATAATATAAACAAGTTTGTTATACTTAATATAGTAAGTATCACAAGACATGAATAAAAAAAAATTTTTTTTACAATAAGCATGCTATTTTATAATAATTTAACTTTTCATAATGATAGACTTTTGATCAAAGTCTGTATTATTATTATTATTATTTAATCAATAATATCTTGGAATAATAATAATCATAATGTAGATTTTTTTTAATCAATTAAAATTTGCATTAATTAATATAATTTTTATTAAGTACATGTAATTTTTAATCATGTACTGTGTATTAACAGAAAGATATCAAATATAATGAAACTTAAAAATTATTATACATATAAAATATAAAGAGTATGCATTTAGCATTATAATTCTGACTTGAAACTAGATTAAAGAGTATATTTAGAAAGAGTATGCATTTATAAAAGATGTATTTAGAAGAGATTATCTGTAATATAGAGATTAATAATATTACAAATACTTTTTCTAATATTATGCATGATAAGCAAAATTGTGATATTATTTTATATATTATTTACATAATATATATATAATTATATAATATCTATCATCTAGTTAAATTAATTTTAGTTATATATAAAAGAACAAGTATAGATTGTGAAAAAGTAATTTATAATATTATTATCATCTGTCCTATTTTAGATATTATTTATTATGTTTAATATAATTATTCAAAGAATATGAAAAAATAGATATTTTGAATATATTAATATTTATCTCTCTTACTTTAAGTTACTTTTACAAAACTATTAGAATCATTTTATAATGAATTAAAAAGATTAACTGTAAAGAAATATAACTTAATTAATAAGTACTATCAATTATAATTAAATCATATTTTTCATCATTATTATAATTATCAAATTATTATTTCTTGATTATTAGATATATATCACAAAATTATTAAGTTTAATAATAAAAAATAACTGAATTCAGAAAAAATTATCTTTAATTTTCATTAAAAGTAAATCTTTATAATTAATATTAATAATAAAATTATTAAGAAAATTTGAAAATTTCTATATCTAATTCAAAAATTAATCTTGAATGAGACTATTACTATAAATTTTAGAATTATGAAAGAAAAATCATTATCAAATTTGATATTACTAAATTATTTTTTCATTATTATCTTCTTTCTTATCAATATATTCTTTATAAGTATCTATTTAATTATAATAAATTATTAATAACTAATATTTAAGAGAAATTTTAGCAATTATTTATGAAGACTAGCTTTGAGGTATATAAGTATCAGAAAATAATTAAAATATCTGAATTTATTTAAACTCAAGAAAAAAGAGAGATAAAGAAATAGAAATATATAAGTTACAAATAGATAAACTTATGAAAAAGATGTGAGATAAATACTAAAGAATAAAGATAATATAAATACTATTAAAGTATTTATCATCTGTTTAGATAAATCATTATATTTAGTTTTTAAAATAATAATATAAATAATTTTAGAAATAATTCAATAAAATAGCTAACTAGATAATTAAATAATCTGTTTTTCTTTTCTTTCTATTAATATATATTTCTAATATATCTAATGATTAAATATTCTTTAAATAATGATGATCAAGCACTTTTTATTAATACATTCTAACAATCAAATAATTCACATGTTTTGATTCGACCAATCATGAATTTTCATGTGATTTTAAAATCACATGATACGATCCGGATCGAATCACATGTCACATGATATTATCCCACTTTAGTGGACCCCTATATTTAGAAGTTATACAAATTGTTTGATGATTAGATATTACGCACCATAATAATGTCAAAGAAACGCATCGTGATTATCGGTGCTGGCGTATCAGGCCTAACAACAGCTGTTCAACTGTTAAAACAAAAAAAAGGTTACCATGTAACTATAGCTGCAAAACACTTTCCCGGAGAACTAACTGGGGAATATACTAGTCCATGGGCTGGGGCGAATTGGCGAAGTTTAGCTTCAATCACCGACAAACGACAACAAGAATTCGATAAAAAAACGTTAATTTATTTTTTTGAATTAGTTAAAGCAAAACCTATAGAAGAAACTGGGGTCATGAATGTTGATGGATTTGAGTATTGGGATGAGCTTCCCGGAAAAAATTTTATTGAACCTTGGTTTTCAAATTTTTGTCCGGGATATCGTCATTTACGAAAAGAAGAATTACCAGATGGTGTAAAATTCGGTGTTACGTTTAAAACGGTCACTATTAATCCTTCTGTTTATCTTAAATTCTTGTTGAACACTTTCCTCGCTTTGGGTGGAAATATAGAACGCAAAGAATTTTTGCATTTACAAGATGCAATTCTCGCCAATACGGATATTGTGATTAATTGTACTGGGCTACATTCTAGAACGTTGGGTGGGGTACAAGATACGAACGTATATGCTGTACGAGGTCAAACCGTGGTTGTTGAGCTACCACCGAAACACGTAACATGGACTTTTGCGCGGAATCAGCTATTAACAGATCCAATTGGCACCTATGTGATCCCACGTAATAACGGTGAAGTTATTCTAGGTGGCACATATATCGAAAACGATTATACAACAATCCCGGATCCTATAATTGCCGAATCAATAATAAGACGATGTTTGACTACTCGACCCGACCTTTTACCTGTTGGTCAAAAAGAATTAAAGATTAAAAGACATGGAGTTGGATTGAGACCTGTTCGGAAAGGTGGGATTCGGATCGAAGCCGAATGGATAAATTCTTCATTAGATGGTAGTAAGAGAGTTTTAGTGTGCCATAATTATGGGCATGGCGGATATGGCTATCAGTCTAGCTATGGTGCAGCATTGTATTTAATTGAGATAATGGAAAAATCTTTGAATATTGAAAGGAGGAAGGCATTGAAGCTTTAATTTCCTTTATTATATTTATTAAATTTATTTATTTTAATAATATCATCAATTTTGTTTTGATAGTTGATTGTTTATTATAACATTTTTTAATTGCTTTGATATTTTATTTTTCAACTTATAACGTATGCTTTTTATATAATTAATCACAAAATATAATAAAGATGTGAACTTATAATTAATCAAATTATAAAATTATATAATTTTTGAATATTTTAAAATGAATATTATCTTTAACTAAATTATAAAAAAAGTATTATTGAAACAGAATGTATAATGATATTTAAAAATTTGTATAATTTTGTCAATATTATCAAAATAAGATTCATATTAGTTTAATAAGATATTGAAATTTATAATAATAAGAGAAAGTTTTTAAGAAAATTATTATTAATTTAATAAAGATTGTGATTAGAAAATAATAATTATTACATTATTATAATAATAATATTAATATCATTTTAAATATAAGTGAAAAATATATTAATATATGATACAATACAAAAAGATTTATATATCAGATTAAAATTAATAAAAAATCTAATTAATTTGTGATTTTTTTTAATAAATAAAAAATATATATACTGGAAATCATTTTAATATAATTTTATTTAAAAGTTAATTATTATAATCAGAGCTATTAATATTAAATAACTCATAATCAGTTTCTTTATCTAATAAAATTATATCTTTATTAGATTCTCTATAATTTTTTGTTTTTTTAAGTACTCTTTTCTAAAATTCAAGAATTATTTTTGAATTTATCTTTTCTTGAAATATATATAGAAACTTATTTATAATAGTCAAAAGATTTAGATGTGATTCTGATCTTGTTACTTTATCTTTTATAATTATCTAAATATTCTCAATTAATTAAAGTTTTTAATAATATGAAAAAGTGAAAAAAACTTGATAATCATACTTCTTTGCTATTTTTATAAATATAAATAATACTTTTTCTTTATTTTTTTTGTATAAGTTTCAAGAATTCTGATTTTTATAATTTAATAGAAAAAATAATATTATAATTAGTTAATTAATCAATTATCTTTACTTTTCTTATATTTGATATTAAAATACTTTTAATATATTATTTATAATACTATGTATTATTTATATAAATATTTATTATATCATATTTAATATTAATAAATTGATAAAGTTTTTCAAAAAGATTCTTAAAAATTTTAATATTGAAATTTTTATAATAATTAACTTAATTAGAAGTGATATTTTTGATTATTATTAGAATATCTTTTCATATTTTTGTATTATATTACTTTTATTCTTAATTTGCTGATAATTTTGTTACTAGATTTTAAATACAAATAAAATTAAAAATAAGCTTATTATATAACTTATTAGTATTATTATTTCAAAAAAAATTACTAATAGTAATTCATATTCTTATACTAAAATAATATTATAATGAAAAAGCCAAGTATTTGATAAAGTATAATAT